GATTACAAGTAATTGATTACTGTAATCAAAATTGTAATCATGATTACAGCTGTAATCAAAATTTTTTGAAAGTTGTAATCACGATTACAAGTAATTGATTACTTGTAATCGTGATTACAAGTAATTGATTACATAGCTGTAATTATCTGTAATCAATTACAGTTGTAATCGATTACTGTAATCAGCGGCCAACTCTGATAATTACTGCTATGTAATCAATTACTTGTAGGTATTACGTGTAATCATGATTTCGGATTACAGAGTCGGGGGGAAAATGTAATCATGAATACAAATTTCAATTACAATAATCATTGTAATCATAATTACAAGCATTCGTTGTGATCACAATTACAGCTGTTATCAAAATTATGATATCTTGTAATCATGATTAGAAGTAATTGATTATTGAAATCGAAAAATGTAATTGATTACATTTTTGGTCAACTTTCCCGACCAGTGTAGAAGTGGTAGTAGACGGGTATACTGGACAGTAGTATTTAACCTTAAAAACCATCAGTTTAGGGTAAACTACACAAGTGTAAACTGAACAATTTCCTTTTTTTTTTCCTTGTTCTCTCCATTCGTTCAGGCAGCACCTAACTGTGCATGCGCTAATGTAGAAATGGTGCGATTAGCCACTGCAGCTTCCAGTTATGTTATATTGTTTCTAAAGTGCTTAACTTATTATTTGAAAATGAATCTTATGAAATGAATCAAAATGCGAGTGCAAATGAAATTTTTTTCCTAATTGAATCATAATAATGTAGATAAATAAGTAATTATATATTTTTCTAATGAACAAAATTATATATTTTTTGAATCAACAAAAAAAAAATTAAAATTTTCAATAGAATATTTTTGAAATTCATACATGGGTCATTCTTACGAAAACTGTCATTTTTCAGTTCATAAAATCCCAAAAAAATAAAGTGAATAAAAAGCTCTGAAACTTTTTATATTAATAGAAATATGTAATTATAAAGAAAGTATATATCCTATAAATTGTACTTAATATTTAAATTAATTAATTAATTTCACTATTTAAAAAGTGAGGGAATGACATTTTATTTTAATACATGTTTTTCTCTAAGTTACAGCTACCTCAAGTTTGAAAATGATAACATACTAAGTATATCTAATATTTATTATAATTTAGTTTTATATATTTAATAGTTTTTACAGGTTTGGGAAATAAAATTTGCTGGCACGATTGAACAAAAAATTTTTTTATAATATAATCATTCCCTCACTTCAGCATCATTCTCTCACTTTATACACTACTGAGGGAATGACAAATTTAACTAAATTTAAAAATAACAGTTAGGCCTAATTAATTTCTGAAATCAATCACATACAATTATATTCATACAAGAAAGCAACATATAATTAATTATCCACTTTCTCGATGAAGTTGTATTTTATTTTACTCTAAAAAACGACATGAGGGAATGACAAATGTAAAAAATTTTACCTGGTTTGATTCATTCAAATTTATTCCACAGTAAAGCTTCTTTAAGTTGAAGATGGAAAACAACTGCAATTTTGTTCTATGATGCCAGTTGTTAACTGCTAAAGTTTTTATTAAAATATTTTTATTCTAAGAAGATTGCAGGTGATAAGAACATTGTTGTGAGGGAATGACGCGAAACACTGGGGACAAAGTTTAAAATAGT